TCTCTCCTCCCACCTTTCATCTGTGCATGTGTGTACGGGATCTGGGTATCTTCTATGCATGACCCAGACCCCACCATCTCATGATTGTATGTGTGTGGAGTGATGCCATGTAGGTCAGTCTATGTGAGTCAGTCTATGTGAGTCAGTTCGTTATAAGCCTTCCACTGCATAAAAACTCATCCTATATTGGTTGATTCTTGGTTCTGCCCATACTCATTGGAGTATGTAACACAAGATCACCATGGACACAGCTGCTCTCCTAGCTACGCAAGATGTCGTTTGGTTACCGTCGGCCTGGCTAGCAGACAAGAACACTGAGGAACTCAAAGAGATGTGGCTGACTGAAGACGTCGACGCAACCTTAGTAGCAGACTTCTGTTGTACACTGGCCACAGACAAGCAGCCACATTCGTCTGGCTTCCGAAGCCTGCTCCTTGCTCCATGGACAACGCCGTCAGACGCAGAATCAGCTCGCAGACCACGAGCCTCCAGGCAAACCAACGATGAACAGCAGCAGCGGATCCAATCCTCTACCGTTCTTCCTCAAGATGATGGACTGCCTTAGGGTCGCCACGTGGAACGTCCGAGGCCTGGGGGACACAGCCGGTCGCCATAGGAAAGCCAGGCTCAAAACCTGGATTCATGATAATAAAGTCCAGGTGATGATGTTACAAGAGACTAAGTTTGATGAACCAAAGTTGCGCCAGCTCGCTACCTGGTGGAGAGGTGACCAAATCTGGTCGCCAGCAGACGGCACTCGAGGCGGTGTGGCAATACTCGTTCACCGAGACCTGCAGCTGGAGATACTGGACAGCGAGGTTGATTTGTGGGGGCACTGGGCGTGGTTCCAGACGCAGTTGGGAGGACAGCTTTGGACTTTTATGACAGTCTACGTGCCTGCTCACCCAGTGGACAGGAGGGCCTTTCGGGAAGAGCTTCCTTATCTTATACCCCCCGCTCAAAATGTTGTCTTGGCCGGTGACTTCAACCTGGTTTTGCAACCGGGACTGGACTCACCTGTTGCTATACCACGAAAGTTGGATGCTCAAATGCTGTTGGACTACATGGAACAGAAATTGTTCACAGACTCGTACAGGCATACTCACCCCACGGAGCACGGTTACACATGGTTCTCTTCCCAGAGAACTGGTGATACCCCACCTCCAAAGAGACGCCTCGATTTGATTCTAACTAAGGGAGCAGCCTGGGAATCGTTGACTGCAGCGGACGTAGTCATTGTACCAGGATCAGACCACAGACCGGTGGTTGCGGATTTCCTCCTCGATGGTCACCTGCAGCGGGGACCAGGCATTTTCAGACTCAACACGGATCATCTCAGCTCTCCTGAGATTATCCAATGGGTGGCATCTCACTGGCGGGACTGGGAGCAAACTAAAGATTGGTTCGGTTCGGAGGAGGAATGGGCTGCCATAGGCTTCAAGGTGGTAACTCGGGCGCTTGATACCTTTTCAAGAATTCAAGCGAGGGGTAGAAGGCTGCAGGAGGAAGAGTGCCTGGCAAATGTGCAGGAAGCAGAGGCCATGCTGGAGACAAATCCGCTCACTGAACTATATTGGCAGCACATGCGGGATAGATGGCTGCAGAAATGGGAAGATTTGCAGATTGTGCAGCAGACCAGATGGGCAAACCGAGCTAAGGAGAAGGGACTGATTACGTCAGACAGAATGACCAAAGAGACCTTCCAGCGGATCTGCCACATGAGGACGCACTCAGTCATAAGAGAGCTGCAACACCCATTTCACGCTGAGGCAGACTCAGCGACCGACTCCAGAACCATCGGAGACTTTGCAAGGCAATATTTCGAGGACATTTTGACCTCGCGTCGACCCCCGGATCAATCACTGCACCAGCTGCAAGCAGAGCACGATCTCTGGCAAAACACAACGGCACGTCTTTCTCCACAAGCGAGCGCTCTGCTGGAGCAACCAATCACCATGGAGGAGTTATGGTCAGCGGTCAAAGCAATGGCGAAGGGTAAAAGCCCAGGCTCCGATGGCTTACCGGTGGAATTCTACTTAGCCACTTGGGAGCACGTCGGTCCGATCCTACTCAGACTGTTCAACAGGATTCTTGAAGGCGGTACGCTCACCGAAGACATGAAATTTGGGGTTATAACGCTGTTGTACAAGAAGGGAGACAAACGGAATGTTCGAAACTGGCGGCCCATCAGCCGCCTGACCGTATCTTACAAGATCCTGGCCAAGTTGTTGGCCAGGAGACTTGCACCTTTCTTACCTGGTCTTGTTCACACCGACCAGGGAGCTTTCGTACAGGGACGGTCCATCTTTGAAAATGTCCTCATGGCGATGGGTGCGCTGGAGATTATTCAACGGGAGGACAGACAGGTTATGGTGGCCATGCTCGACCTGGAGAAGGCGTACGACAGGGTCAATTGGTCCTTTGTACTCGCCACGCTGCAACACATGAACTTTGGTCCCAAGTTTCGGACGTGGGTCAAGGAGCTATACACAGACTCGACAGCGGCCATTATTGTGAACGGCTTTGTGTCTTCAACTTTCTCGCTTACACGATCGCTACGTCAGGGATGCCCCCCCGCATCCCTCCTCTTCGCAGTTCAGATGGAGGTACTTCTCAACTCTCTTAGGGCAGCGCCGCATCTCCGGGGCCTGAGCCTAGGTGAAGGAAATCAGCTGCTGATAGGGGCCATCGCTGATGACCTCCTCTTGGTCACCGAAGCCACTCCCGATTCACTCGTCGAGGCGAAGAGCATTCTGGATTCGTACTCACATCTCTCCGAGGCGCAGGTCAATTGGAATAAGTCGGTCTATTTCCTACCGGCCCGATTTAATTTGCAAGGTGAGGCATGGGGCATGAAGAGGATTCCAGCCCGAGACTGAAAGATATTTGGGCATTCAGGTAGCGTTGTCGGACTCCAGACCAGACCAAGACTCTATCCTCGCTGCCAAATCTAAGTCAGTCCTCAAGCGCTGTAGATCGGCGGTGGGAGTCTCTCTTTTTGGAAGAGCCATATTGATCACATCTGCTGTCTTCGCACAGTTATGGTATACAGCGGCCGTCATGCTCATATCCAAGCCCACCCTAAGCGCAATCCGTTCTGATGCCGCCAAGTGCCTGTGGAAGCCGGGAACAGAGAATCAGGAGGGCTGCACTACCAAATGTGCCTGGAGCAAAGTTACCAATTCGCGCAAGGAGGGGGGGCTCGGCATCCTAGATCCTGAAACTCAGAATCTTGCTCTATTGGGCAAATGGTTCTGCAAGGTTGCATTGCAATCAGATACAAGAACCTGGGTGGCAATCCTAGAGTACATCGTACAGCACGACTGTGGGCTACATCGCAGGCAAGACGTCTGGGCTTGTATCTTTATGTCATCTTTTGTTCGGCGTCAGCCGTCCTCCATGTTGGCAACGGCATGCTGGACAGCATGGAGAGCCCTTCAGCCCTTGCTACCAAAGCCGCCCGCAACTCGTGAGGAGGTAAAGCAACAAAATCTTTTCAACAACCAAGCGATCTGCGACAGCTGTGGCCAACCTTTTCAAGCAACAAGAGGGCGAGGGGCCTTTGGCAGGTCATGGACTGAGAGGGGAGTCACACATATTGCTGATATCTGGGACGAAGAATCCGTGGAGTGGCTAGCTGAGGAACAACTGAGGCTAAAACTGGCTCGTTTGCCCCACGTCCCACAGCGAAGACAGCTGCTTATCCAAGCAATCCCTACGAGCTGGAAGGTCCTACTACAAACAGCGGCGCCAGTCCCCGGTGAGTGGTACTCCACAAAACACTTAGGTGACGACGAGGACAGCATTGTGCAGATCACTCAAGACCTGGGCGACGACTTGCAGCTCGCAAACCAGTGGACCAAGCAAGAAGTCCCGGGACAATCCCCAAGGCTCACAGAACCCACGGAAGTGTGCATTCACGCACAGCAGCCTCATCGGCTCATCAGAGTCCTTTCTACAACACAAGCAACCCAGGCTCCGCTCCACCGCCTCCTAATGGATGGTAAACCACTCGAAAGTCTGAAAATTGATCCCATGGGCCACAGTTGGCCGCTCCCAGAAGATCGACGTGTGCTGCTTTTCCAGTACTCATCCAGGGTGGGCAGACAAATCATGACAAAGGATTCTGATCTTCCAGAGGTGGCTGCCAGAAAGCTCAGCAGATTACTACAGACACAACCTCCCGTGGCACCCCGGGACCTCCTTCAGTTATGGGATCAGCTAAAAGCCATGCCCTCTCAAAAGCTCGCTGCACTTTCATGGTTGCTCTCACATACAGCAGTCCCGTGTGCAGTCTGGCTGTTTGAAAAGGGTATGGACATTCCCACCAAGTGCCCCAGGTGCGGTGGACAGGCGGAAGAGTCACTGGAGCACCTCTTTCGGGACTGCCCAGCTTCCCGCTGGCTCTGGAACTGGTGGGGTAATCACTGGGCATGATTCGTTGGAGATATCCTCCCCTGGGACGAAAGATGGGCCCTTCACGGGAAGCTCCCACCATCTTGGTTCAAGCATGTTGGCAGAGGATACGTAGCGCAGGCCATACGGTCCATTCTGCTTTGGACCATTTGGGAAGACAGGAACAACATCCTGTTCAGACAACAATGGACCTGCGATGCCGTCATCATCAGCAAGGTCAAGGCTTGGGTCAGAATGATGATCAGGGTGGACTGGATCAGGAAGGCCCACGAATGCAACACGGTGAGGGGCCGACACTGGTTCCTGGTTACTTGGGCCCGAGACAACAAGTTGGCGGCTGTTACACATACCGGGCAACTGGTCATCTCACCGTGGCTCAGCACATAGTGCTCCTCAGAATCACCCTTTAGCGTTCTGCTCTGACGGCTCATTCTTTTTTCCTTTTCCTTTCTTCCTTTTTTCCTTTTTTCCTTTTCCTTTCTCTTTTCCTTTAGCAGTGCTGCACATTCCCCCTTGCTCCCTTCCTTTTCTCTCCCTCATCCCTCTCTTCCCTCAGTGTAACAGCTGCTGAACCATTGTTCTAGTATTAGAGATGTAGTGGCTTTGCTGGTTCCTTGTTTGGTCTGTCTTACTTTCTTTCCAACCAGGACACTCGGTTAGTTCAGGCCGCAGGAGGCCACCAGTCGGGAGGCTGAGGGGAGGAGGGAGGAGAGTGTCGCACTTTTCGAGGAGCCAGAGAGCCTGGCTCCAACCAGCCACAGGTTAGGCTGGTTTCAGACTCTGTATCTAGTTAGTTGCCAGTACCATCGTAGGATCTCCCTACCTGTCAGATCCGGTTTGTTTACTCACCTCACCTTTATATCTCTACCCATTAACCCACTCTCAGGCCACCCACCCACACTCACCTCTTCCACCTATATTCCCCACCCTCCATCCCATCCCTCCCCTATCGCTTCACCTCCATCTATCCCACTCCTCTTCCTCCTTCCTCCAGTACCCTAGTTTAGCTCAGTTTCCCAACCCAGTAATCCCAACCCAGGAATGCTTTCCCTACAATCGTTCAGTATAATCTCTGTTGAGTTCAGACCAGTTCAGGCTAGTATAGCTACAGATGTTCAGTTTACTTTACTCATCTCGATGACTTCCGGTTCCTAATGGTGCCGTAAAAAGCGAAACTGGCTAATGCTGCCAGAGGTTCGATCCGGGTTGAATTGTGGGGACCCCGGCCCCGGCTTCTATTTGTCTCTTGAATACAACCAAACATTCTCAAAAAAAAAAAAAAAAAAAAAAAAAAAAAAGAACGGAAACAGGATCAGGTTCATTGTTCCAACAAGTGAAGACCCCACCCCGATTCCTGGGCTTAAAACCACCAGTACATCTGACTGACGAAAAATTCCTGAGTCCCGAACCCCCCCTGCACGCCAAGCTCTGCCGACATGCCGCCAGCGCGATGTTTTTTTTTTTTTTTTTTTTTTTTTTTTTTTTTTTTCCGGTTGATTAATCTGTGTTTTTGGATGGCTGTGCCAACCATTTTGGTCTGGTGGCACTGTTCACATCTGACCACAATCGTTGAATCGTGTGATTCTTTTTTTTTTTTTTTTTTTTTTTTTTGTTAAATCGTGTGATTCTCAAGTTGGCCGGGGCACACCTTTTGCAGCTCCAGGGTACCGGACCACGATGGCTGTCGGCGCCAGCCAAAAAAAACGGAAAAACGTTTCACAAGTAGGTTTGGGAATTGACAATTTGTTCTCCTGGTACAACTACTCAGTTTCACCATAAGCGAAACCGGCTGATGCTGCCCGGGATAACTCCGGGGGGCAAGTCCCACTCGCAGCGTTGAGTTTCCTCAACGCCTGAATCTGGCTTTGTTTGTGGATATGTGCAGAAATGGCGTTGAGTTTCCTCAACTGCACATCTCCACAAACAGGTCCAGATTCAGGCGTTGAGGAAACTCAACGCTGCTAGTGGGACTTGGAACCGGGTTGAACTGTGAGGTCCCCGGCCTCTTTCTCACCTTTGCAATGACATGGACTGTTCAAAAAAAAAAAAAAGGGAAAGCGTGCGCCTCGGGGAATTCGGGAAAACTTGGCACTCAGTGCAGTGCTTCCTTGGCCGAGTGTATTTGATTTTTTTTTTATTATTATTTTTTTGTACTTGTGGTTTAAACCACCAGGACTTCCAACAAGAGTGGCGGCCACATGTGCGCCTCGAGCTGCTGCTGGGATGAACGGGCTTGGGGCGGTGGAATAAATTCATTCAAGTGGAAGGCTCGCGGCACTGTAACAATGGCTGGCTGTTTGCGTGCCGCGACTACCAGACGTGGTCGTGGGGTTTACGCCACCAGTACACCCGGGGCTGTTTCGCGAACCGACGCGCCCCCTGTGCGGCGAAATTTGCCGAAGCGCCAGCGCGGCGGCGTTTTTCTTTTTTGATTTGGCTGCCGGAGACATCCACTTCAGTCCGGTTGCCCCGAGCCCCGAAAAGCCCCGAACTTTTCGCTGGTAGGGACGAGTTCCTTTTTTTCTTTTTTTTTTCCAGTTCATTTTCTGCAAAGCTGGCGCCATGTTCTGGTGGTTTTTAAGACAGAGATTACGAAACTAGCGAGGAATATGCCGATTTGGTACTGATAGGTCAGTAGTACTATGTTGGCCCGGAATGGAGCACTTAGATGAATATGCCCACTGGAGGGGCAGCTCCTTTCCTGTTATGAATTTACCTTTTCTTTTGGAAGTTAAGGGACACTGGACCCGGTTTCCAGAAGCCTACAGCTGGGTAATGGCCCGAGCATGTTATTTGTACCGGGTTGATTTGTGGGGTGTATTCCCGGGCCCCTGTCCTTGGATTTGTAATGAAATATTCACTTTTCAAAAAAAAAAAAAAAAAAAAAAAAGAAACTAGCCAGGAAAATCATAGGGGAGCTGAACTTGGAGACAGGAAGTAGGAGAGGGAAGGAAGAGGGAGGGAATCTGAGGGACCAGGGTATATAACTACTTTTTTTTTTCAAGGGGATTCCGGGTAGCAGCAAATGGATACTGTGCTCGCCCTAATGAAACACCTGGTCATCATTATTGCTGTATCTAGACCAAAAGTTGCCCCAAATACAGCTATCATGACCAGGCATTGTATTTGAGTTAAGACGGTAGCAGTGGTGGAATTGGGGGGGCCAGACTCAGACGGAAGAAGGGTGCCCCCCCCTTGACAACAGAGTGAGGGAAAAAGGAGACCTGGTGCGAAGCCCCGCGAGCAGAAAGAGGATTGGATTAAGCAACTGAATCTAGATGTGTTTTATGCAGAGATGCAGAAAAGAAGATCTGTTGCGATTTTCTGCACCTCTCCCCCAAAACACGTCCAGTTTCAGGCATTTAATACAATTCCTCTTTGATACTGGAACCTCGCCCCGTTAACTCTCTCATCATTACGAGAGCAATCAATCCTACGCTATTGGGTGAAGGGAGAGGCGTGGGGTGCTGCTCCTCGAGTGCTCCGAAAATTTCCAAAATATATGAAATGCGAGTTTCATCAATAAAAAAAAAAAAAAAAAAAAAAAAAAGGAAAAGAAAAGGAAAAGAAAAGGAAAAGTTGAGGAAAAAAACAGAGGAATATTCAAAACGTCAACAAAAAATCAAACAGTAAAATGGGGAGTAAGCCACGAAGAGTTCAAATTTCAAAGGGAAAAAAAAAAGCAGTCACTCCAACTTTGGAATTTGAGAGTTCGGTGTGTTCCAGAGGATTATTCAAAAAGTCGATAAAGAGAAAAAAAAAGCTTCAAAATTTTTGAAAAGAACATAAAAAGCCAAGGAAGCCATTGAATAAGACAAAAAATGAGACCAACTTTGGTGGTGAGATTTCAAATTTTCACATTTTCATGTTAATGTCAATTGAGTTAATGTTACTTGCTGTCAATTTGAACTTTTTAGTCTGAATTTTCAAATTTTCAACTGTAAAAAAAAAAAGCTCTAAACTCTTGAACTTTCAGTATTTACTATTTACTATTTACTATTTATCCATCCCGTCAAATAGTAAATTTGACAGGATGGATAAATAGTATTTAGTATTTACTATTTATCCATCCCGTCAGTATTCTCGCTCTTTTTTTTTTGAACTTTTAAAAGTTCAAAAGAAAAGATATAGGGGAATAGGGGAGGAGGAAAATTTAAAATTTTCATTCTACAAATTTTAATTTTTTTCTGTTTCTTTTTTCTTTTCTGGGAATCTGAAGAACTTTCGGATGATTTCATCATTTTTTATTAATTATTTAGTGGCTTTCAAGATTTCTGTGCCAGAGCACTGTAACATATAGATATTTTTTATTTTTTTTTTAATAAAAAGTTACTATATTTTATTGAATCTCCAAAGAGAGCATCCTCAGGGCCTACGGTAGTAGGCCTAGTCACACTAGCTCTATCTGAAATGTACCCAACCGCATTTACAGCTAGACCTGGATGTATTGGGCCGCAATTGCATCCATAAACACGCAAAAACGTTGCGGGTGTGAGTATGCCCTCACGTTGGGATTATCTTGAATGTATCTAACCCAAAGTTACAGCCGTATTCATTCATTAACTCAGTACCAGTGCGAGCACTTTTTGCTCTCATAATTGTAAGTTTTCAATTCGCCAAAATTGCTGTCGGATTCTTCATGCCGAAGAAACCTTAAACACTCATCGCTTCCCTGCAAGCACAAAAAAAAAAAAAAAAAAAAAACGGAAACGACAAGAAAAATAGTGAACAGCACCCCATTCCCCCCCTTTCCCGCAGCAGAACAAGACAAGTCATGTCCACATCAGCAATTCAGAGGCTCAGCATCCTTTATTTCTTGTTTTGATTCGTTTTTGGGTCAGCACGACTCAGCAGACTCAGCATCTTTTTTTACCTCTTTCCTCACCCTTCTTTTTTTTTTTTTTTTTTTTTTCTGCCATCAACCACCAAATCACTTTTGAAATCCAATTAGCCTTTTTTTCCAACAAAAAGGACCTTTTGAAATCCCTTTCTGCTTCTCCGAAACACACATGCACAAACATGCATGTGCCCTCTCTCTCTCTCTCTCTCTCTCT